TGTTTGCAAAAAGATAAAAGACGATCAAATATAATATTAGATCTGCCACTTTATATTTTTTTTTATTAAATTTCATATCATACATTTTAATTTTTACGTTAAAAAAACCTTGAATTCTACTAACCGATGGTGTTTGGGTATTTGTTGGAAGGTATCTTGAGAAGGGTTCAAGGCAACTCGATGAAATCCGCCATAGATGTAGAACATAGAAGTTATAGAACTCATAGGTTACTAATAGTGTTTTATACAGAGTCACGGGCGACGGCTAGTTAAATATACAGTTAAATAAAAACCACTAATGAATAATAATATAATGACGTCAACAAACAGCATCATTGTAAACTTAACTTGTGGTAATCTTGACCTCAAAACGTATCGAGTAACGCACGATCCGATGATTTGAATTCCCAAGTAAATATGACCAATAATTATATCGAAACTAGTTGATGACCAAGACATCGTCCGGGTTTTCTTTGTTCCAGAACTAGCTGTCGCCTGCGACTCCGTACGCGCGGAATACAAAAAATCACAATTAGTAGCCTTTGGGTTCTTCCAGACTGTTCTATATTTATTCCAAAATTCATCGAGATCCGTTCAGGCGTTCTGGAGATACCTTCAAACGCACATCCATCCATCCATCTAAATATTCCCATTTATAATATGTAAGATAGTAAGATTGGGTACATGAAACATCGGTCAATTCGATGATGTGTTCCGGAACTAAGAGGAAATTAAATTAATTTTATTCCGCATTTGTTTTCAATGGAAATCATTTGACGCCAATTTAAAACAATTTATTGAATTTAACTTAGAAAACGGTACAAATCTAACTGCGCGAAGTCCCAAATGTAATACTAAGTTGTGTATAAGATTGTAAAATAGCCTAAATAAAAAATAATATCTTATATAGCAAATACATATATCTTACTAATATTATAAATGCGAATGTTTAGATGGATGGATGTATGTTTGAAGGTATCTCCAGAACCGCTGAACGAATATTGATGAAATTTGACATAAATATAGAACATAGTCTGGAAGAACACATAGACTACAATTTTTTTTAATTCCGCGAGATCTGAGTCGTGGGCGACCACTAGTAGCGTTATGTTATGAGATGGTTCGTCAGTGGAAACTCACTGTTATTGGATATAAGCATTGGTGTGCATTATATCACCGAGTAAGCGACGCCTTGACCGACTTAAGAGCTCGTTTCCTTGTTTTATTTAGTTTGTGATATGTTTACCGTTCACCTCTCGCGATGGTTTAGACAGCACGGAGACATTCGAATGTGCTAACTGTACGTAACCACTTAACGTTGACCCTCGTTTACCTACATTTTTGTGACCAGTTTAATAATACGTAGCTAAAACTAAACTAGATGGACACAAAGACACGAGTAAGTGCCAAGACTGATCACAGCATAAATATTAGATCATTTACGAGCAACTAACAGATTTATAAGTAGCCTATGTGTTCTTCCAGACTGTTCTACATGTGTACCATATTTCATCACAATCCATTGAGCTGTTCCGGAGATACTTTCTGACATTCATCCATCTAAACATTCGCATTTATAATATTATAATAGGAACAATAGTAAGGAAGATAAGAAGTAGGATATAAAATGGTGCGTAAAATTGTTGATAATAGCCTAATTTTGCGTACAAAGTTTCAGTTCAAGGTTCGATTACGTGATGAAAAATAATAATTAGTCAAGGCCTTGCCCTCGTTGTTTAAATTCAATTATATCGACGACATTTCGCGAGCCATTAATGCTTTTGCTAGCAATTCGTGCGTCGAAACATTGAAACGCGAAAACGGTACTAAGATTAGTGACGAACTAAATGGTGTAAGATAGATTTAAATGTCTTTACTTTGTCACTCTGCCACTGAATGTGGAAATAACATATCTATAAATGGATAGGTGATTGCTTAGGAATAGCAGCTTATCCTGTTTCTTTTTTTTTATAATAGAAGGGGGCAAACGAGCAGCGGGATCACCGATGTGTTCAACGACGCCCATGGACATCAGAAATACCAGAGGAACTGCAGATGCGTTGCCGGCCTTTGAGATAGTGATAAGCTCGCTTCTTGAGTAGCAATATCTATCAGCCGTTATATCTGAATTCACGTTCATACGAATATCCTTTTTCACATAATCCATCCATACTTATTTATTCTTCTTCTTATTTAGTACTTTTAGACATAACTAGCTGTCGCCCGCGACTCCGTCCCCGTGAATATATAAAAAAAAAACTTAATTAGCCCATCCATCCACATCCATCTAAATATTCGCATTTATAATATAAGTAAGTTAAATAAAAAGCAATTCTTCAAGGCTTAAATCGAAAAAAAAATAAGAAAAAAAAATGAATAAATAGTATCCTATGTCCGTCTTCTGGCTCTAAGCTACCTCCTCACCAATTTTCAGGCATATCGGACAAGCCGTTCTTGAGTTATAAATAGTGTAACACGACTTTCTTTTATATATATAGTGTTGCGATACACCGGCACAGTGTCGGATTTTCTTCCTAACAGTTCAAACTTTAGCCGAGTTTAGATATTGAAAAATTTATTAGAATTTATTGGTTTTACAAGTGTCATATATGTATTAAGTTATGTACAAAACCCTGACCACATTCTGTTAACCACAAAAACTCGAATTCAAAAGCAAATTGACTTTAAAATATTCGGCATACAAGATAACTGTAATTCGTAATGTATTTATTCTCTAGTATTATTCGTTGTTATATAATATCAGGTCAATGTCTGTATTTATGAATATACATGTGGTGAGGTGGTGGGCAGAATGAAAGATTTTCGTCTTCTTATTATTTTATTTACTGCTTTACAATATCTTTTTACTTGCACTCCTTTCGTTTTGCCGTCCTTCCATAATTCCGTTCACTCTGTCCGATCAGTCATTCACGCGTCTCAAACTTAATTGTCTAACATTCGTTCAAAAACCACAGTCCTACATACAATTAATCATTAACTCGCCGATATAAAAAAATACATACTAGTTGACACCCGCGACTCCTTACACGCGGTATTAAAAAAATACTTAATTAGTAGCCTATGTGTTCTTCCAAACTATATTCTACAACTATGCCAAATTTCAGCGGCATCAGTTGATCAGTTCCAGAGATACCTTCAAATAAACAGCCCACCATCCATCCAAACTTTTGCATTTATAATATTAATAAGATTAGTAAGATGACTAGTCCTATGTCCCCGTAGTGGGGTATAGGGCGTCGACGGTGCGCCGCCAGTTCGCTCTATCTTGGGCTCTGCGTTTGGTCTCGGGCCATGTCAGGCCAATTGCCTAGTAAGATTATATATTATAATTGATTGTTTGGAGAAAGTAAGGATATTATTGTGTTTATTTAGCTATATCTTTCTGTGATTTCAAATGCTAGATTTGAACGAAACATAAATACGATTATATTTCATTCAAATTTTATATCTCGCTTATTCTCTTTGAAAAAAATCCAAATCCACGGTTACTTTACTTTGTATTGACGTTTGGTAAAACAAGAAGTGACATAGCAAATATAAATATAGTAAAATAAATGATAAAATTAATTCCGTAAAGAGCGAGACAGTAACAAGTTAAGCATGAAATCTCACTTGACATGGCTAACGGAAGAAATGTCTGTGGACCAAGATCGATGCGATGGACGCTCCAGATTTGAACTTGTCTAGGAAACGACTGGCTAAGATATGCAGGGGTACACAACATTTTTTACATGATAAATATATAACAAAACACAGTCCATGCAAATTCATGGCGCAAAATTGTGTTAGTGTTTTTTATAGTTCCAGATGGAGAGTTCGATCGGCCATTTAAAGTTAACATACGAAGAACATACTATGGAAGAACACATAGGCTTATTAAGTTCCGAGCAAACGGGGTCGCGGGCGACAGCTAATAAATAAATAAATGCTTTATTATAACACTTGTATCATGTGGGAGCCTTGGTTTTTAAACAAAACAAAAAAGCCCTGTGTTTCAGGGGCCAATCTTTTAGGTATATTTAAAAAAAAAATAGCCTCGATGATTTCCATATGTTGCGAACCCCTGGAAAATCATTATAATTTGCTAAGACAAATAGACGTGCAATCTATTAACTATAACAAACATTGCTAATTCGTCTTCAATGTTATGACTAACTAAGAGATTGTTTAGATATGTAGAAAGGATGTATGAATTGGTCATAAGGTCAGCTATCAACTAAAATCGTGACACTAATGCATTCGTGGAAGCATAAATGTGAAAGAAGGGAATGTGTTCAACCTTGCCAAAATATATTCATAAGCGACCTATCCCTGTTATTTATGCATCCCAATTTTCAGGCAAATTTATAACTAACCTAACCTAAGCCATTTGCAAAAATCAAACTTTTCGTTCTCCAGTTATTTTCAATATTAATTTGCTTTGATGTATAAAAATATTTTTTAGTCTGATTTGAGATGCTTGGTCAATTAGACAAAATTTTATATTTGGTATGTTTTTTTTGTTTGACATTGTTAATTTTAGGTTATGTTATAATATAATAGCAAAACACGCCTCGTTCTCATTTTAAAAGAGAAAAAAATACAAACAAGAAAAAACATTCAATTAAAAACTACAGTTTCTATATTTTAGAAGTAATATGATTCAACGTACAACTCAGCCGAGGTAACGAAAATGAATAAAACAAAAACAAAACAACTTTTTAAGTTGTTCAAGACTGGCTCGAAACTAGATAGGTTTAAGAATAAAACCTGACAATATTGTATGACTGTTCTTAAAAAAGGATACATGCAAAATGATTCCATACTTTCAGAGTAATCATTTGCTTTATTAGAAAGTTAACCTAAATATGATTAAACTTAATTAGTTTAAATTTGCATAAAACTGTTAGATAACTAAAACATATTGAAACAATATTGTTCTTTGATGTTTAAGTTCTGATAATAATTTATTACGGGTAATATTAATTAAAAACACTTACCAAATAACCTAAAAGTTCCCGGATACAGTTCAAAAACCTCACGTAAGCACTGCACAAAAGTTAAACTACAATACACATACAAACACTGTTTGTACAGAAATACTTGTCAATGCAATGGCAACTTTCTAGTTGAACTTTGCGTAAAACGCGATTTTATCACGTCCCAAACTGTTCAACGCAAAAACACAGGTCAACACAGGCCGTTTTACTTCAACAATATCATTTGAATGTGATATCTCGTTGTAATTTTGTGACGTAAAAGTTTTTTGGGAGCTAACGGGATTCACGTCCGCTCCCCACCGATGTTAGCTCGCATCTGAGCGCAAGCGAGACCCGACTTGAAGATTGACCTTCGCATAATGAAATGCGACGGCATGAAGTTAGTTACATAGACCGGTTCCTTTAGGCAAAAGTGGTTACGTGTGTGTTTTATCTATACTTTTTTTTAAATCCTCTCTTCACTCTGAATTCACAATAATCATCTGAGTTTAATCTCGTCTTTAAATTGCATTAAATTTTTGAAGTCGGCAACACAACGATTACTCTTCTGTCAAATTAAGGTCCTTTGGGATTCTTTGATTAAGTTTATTAGAGACGGTTGTCAAGATTTAAATTTTTTTTTCACACGAATGTCGCTTCCCATCAAGATTATTTTTTTTATTCAATTTCTATACATCGCTACAAAAAATCTAGATAAAATGAGAAAGATAAAAGATTTATATGAGAAAAAATATAAAGAAGAATTAGATGAGAAATAGGGAATAGAAAATGTAGATCATTTAAGTTATTTTAATCTTCATTTTGTTTGAAAAATTATTATGTTTCCTCTTAATAATTAGTATCGAACGACGCAATAAAAGACCAAGAGAATCATGGATTTACATCTAATAAATATCCACGCATCCGTATGCGTTAAATGACCTTTTTAGCACGATTATGAAGTCAACGAGTCAACTAATTTCCTTATTATTAGAAAAATGAAAGCAACTTTACCAAGGTGAAGATCTCATTAGGACTATGACTTAGTTACTCTAAAAGGTTCAGCCAGGGCCGGTTTTAGTAGTTACGGCGCCCGGGGCGACATTTTTCGGCGCCTTTTTTTGGTTTCGGGATCAAAATCTTTCAAAGATAGGGCGCCTTTTATATTCGACTCTGGCATCTGCGGCGCCCTTATGCCCGGCGCCCTGGGCAGTCGGATCCACTTCGCCCTAACGCTGCTACTGACCTTTTACTTTGATGTCCTTATATATAGTATAAGATATTATATAACCTAATACGGAGGACAAAAAGCTAATTTCATTTATGATAACCAATATGAATACACATAAATATACATAATGTAAAACTTAGACTTTTAATGACGGGACCTGTCATCGCACGTATTATATCAAAAAAAAAGGAATGAATAAGAGTGATAATAAATATTGTGATAGCAATAATATTGTGAAGGATGTTGCTAATAACATAATTCTACCATTGTTTTGTGTTAAATACAGTTTAATGTAATTATATTTAAACGTTGAAGGTATTTGCAGATAAGGTGATAAAATGCTAATCTATAATAATAAGTAGCATTGCTTGTAAAAAATCTAGCTGAATATTACTCAAGTATCATACGCCTATAAATGCAGTTAAAATACATAAAAAAAAAAGAATTATTACTCGCATGTCAAAGATTGTCTAAAATTAAACGCATTGGATATCAAAAATGCAACTGTCAAGCATCATTCGATTACCAGGTCCGACATGAAAGATAAAAGATAAATTCTAACCGGTATCATGGTGCAAAAGGTAAAAGAAAATGCGATCGGTCAAAGAATAAAGATGTCTGACACCGCCCCAAACTGCAACTGATTTAGCGTGATTAGATCTTTAGTGTCGATTTACACTGAAATACTTAAACAAAACATATTTTCGTCTCTCTCAGACTCTTTGAAAAAAACAGAGACAACAATGTTTTAATGTAAGTACGGCACTGGATTTTCGTGGTTAATTTTGACTGAATCTTTTGTTTTTAAATAATTTGCGTTTTATTAAAGCTTGTTTTTAGCGGAGTCATGTTGACTTTAAGAAGATTTTAATAATAATATTCAAAAATCACAAAAGGGCCTTACTGATCTCTAGAAGATATAGGAACGGCTCAAAGGATCTCCAAATTTGGCATAGATGTAGAACATAGTGTGGAAGAACACATACTAATTATTAAGTTTTTTTTTTATTTGCTCGGACGTAGTCGTGGCCGACAGCTAGTATTAGATAAATAAGAGTAACAGAATAGTAAATTTCTTTTACCTAGTGTCGATTGTCAAATGTTTTGTCAGCGTGATTGCGTGTTTCGTGTTTTGTTTTTATTTGATCCGCGCAATTTTATTTTATTAAATAATATTTAATACGTCTTGATTACATCAATATGACAAATTGTGGAAATGAGAAATGAACAAATACTATTATAAAGACAAATTACGTCCTTATTATATTCGCCTATCGTTTGAAACATACAAAAAAGGTTTGGTTGTTTTAATGTGTTTATGCATTGCTAGCTGTCGCCCGCGACTCTGTGTGTTCTTTTAGACTATGTTCTACATCTAAGTCAAATTTCAGCGAGACCCATTAACTCGTTCAAACAGATACCATCAAACATCCATCCATCTAAAAATTTGCATTTATAATATTAGTATGATAGGAAAAATTATTATGTTATTGCATTAGTTAGAAGTGTAAACAGTATGTTGGTTTGTTTTACTATACACTAATTATACCACTATCTTAAATGGTGAAGCAGCCAAGTTAACCCTTAATTAAAACTAAAAAAAGCGTCAATTGGTTAAGGGTACGGATTTTAGATCACGAGGTCGGGGGTTCGAATATTGTCGTAAACCATATCCTAGCACAAGCCTAGAGCGTAGTTGGAATGGTAAAAGAAATATTAGTAAATTTACAAAAAATCTGCTAATATTTAAAAAAAAAATCGACAAAATTTTTTGTAGCAAAAAAACTGTTTTTTAGTAAAGTCTTACGTAATTTTCTCTAAACTAGTTCAGTAGATTTTTTTAAATTAGTTGTTCTTCACACTGGACACCATCGAATTAAGGGTACGATATTTTTTTTACAAGAGGTTTGTCCCACAATATTAATATTTTTTGGACACCGTGACAGCGTTAACTTTTTATAACGACACGGGCAACGGATGTACGTTTTTTTATTTATAATGTAGGTGCAATTAAAATTAAATTTTAACACATAAAAAATAAACGAAAGTAATTTAGGAGCGCAAACGAATCTTATCGGAGCCGTGTAAATTTCTCTCCTGGTTTTTTGAATTCGAAAAATAAAAATAAAAAAAACTAAAAGTTGGGAATTTGCAAGGAATTAAAGGTTCCTTTATCTTATTTTGTGAGCTTTGTATCTTCGTCTTCCAACGTTAATTTAAAATTTGTCGCCTCAAGGTTGAAAAGAAATATGCCGTGTGCATTCTTTTCGTCTTGAGATGAAAAGATACAACATATCCGACCTGGTTTTACACCAATGGGACTTATACATACATCTACTTATCAATTCGAATGTTTAGATGGATGTATGGATGTTTGTTAGAAGGTATCTCCGTAATGGCTCAACGGATCTCGACATAATTTGTCATAGATGTAGGTCATAACTGAAAGAGCACATATACTTAATAGTCTTAACTTTTTTTTAATTCTGAGCGGACGGAGTCGCTTCGTACTGGTCTAAACATAAGTGGCGGTTGTTTTAAATGGCAAATATGTTTTTGCCTTTTCTTATTTCACAATTAAAAAACTCTAATTTAACCATGCACATCACGTTACTGACTTAGCTATTGTTGATTGTAGGGTAACTATGATTTTGTGTTTTAGCGGACAAGTTTGTCATACAACTCAAGTATACTTGAATCTCTTATTGGCATATATGGACCTAAGAAAATTAATAAGGATATAAGAGATTAAAGGATGATATTCACAGGACAGATAAAACGATAGGTGAGTGGTGTAAATCAGAATAACTACTTAATGTACTTCTTTGTTTAAAAGTAGCTTTTTTTAAAAGCATGCAATACGATTAGATTACTATTTTGTTCCTTTGAGAAGGAATATCTGTATAAAATAAAAATTAAATTAGTATCGTATTTTGGAAACTGTAAAAAGTTTTTTTTAAATAGACAGTGCTTTTAGAATTTATCTAAAAGTATTGTCCTTTTATAAATTGGTCACCCTATGAAACGTTGTTCCATAAACACTGACAGATATATAGCTATCTCCGTCAGACGCACACTAATTCATAATATTCCCGTCTCGCATTTTGAAGCCTGGCACAGGATGCAGGCGTGCGGGTTGTTTTTTCGAAATTTGAATAAATTTACACTTTTAAAGAAAGTTCTAGGGTTCATAAAAGGTTTTCGAACTCTTTGCCTTCATATTGACGATAATATTAGCAAGAATCTATTTTTGTTATGATGTGATGGAAGAACGCATAGGAAGGGAAAATACTCTCTTTGTGAACGTCACCTCCTCCGGTGATAACGCATCTGCAATTTGCAAATGTCCATGGGCAGCAGTCGCTTTATAAATACAACGAATTCAAGTAGCCGCTTGCTCGATAGGAAGGCCACGTTTGTTCCTGGTAATCTTCAGAATGGCTGGACGCATTTTAACGGCATTTGGACAGTAAGGTAGGTGATGAACGCGGTCATGTTATAGAGTACCTACTTTTTTGTATATCTGCACTGAAATTTCGGTCGATCGCTTGTAAAGAAATAGTATTCCCTTTCAACTTTATTTCTTTTTTAAATATTTAAGTTTTGTTCAAGTAACGATGGATATTATTTTAGGCTTACTATGAGGTGTATTTTATCCGATTGTTGGAGTGTTTGTTCAGTGTGCAGTGTACTCTTACGAAGCCAACGAATCTTAAAGTACATTCGCGAGCCCCCTACAACGTTACATCGAGAGATCTGTACATTTTGTTAAAATTGTGATACACTGGGTTGTAACATTTTATTTATACTATTAGTCGTCCGCGACTTCTAAGCTAAGAATTAAAATAAGTAGCCTATAATATGCCAGCACACATCAGCTACATTTCAATTCAAGTCCAGTGAAAATCGGTCCAGTCGTTCCAGTGATAAACGAGACCTTGCGCGCGACAGCTAATCCTAAATAGTTGCCAAAATATGAATAGCCAGGGTATACCTTTATTTTTTAATTATCAAGTATGTTAATTACTTAATACTTGTATTTATATAAGATTTTAAGCTTTTATCTCCCCCCTCCCATCCTCATAAGGTATCCCAGCCATCGGAGTCGGA